GGTGAAAACGACAAACGAATCTCTTCATCATGTACTTTCATTCGAAATGAAGTTCCCCCTAACATAGAATGATGAAGTTTCGGAAATGAAGCGAAGGCGTTCTTAGTGAGTGTAGTCAGCTCGAATAAACAATTAAAACTGTAGGGGTCTGACGTTTCACGTGAATAAGGAGGGGAATTGGGTCACAGAAATTGGGCATTATGACCTAGTTGACTAATAATCTACTTAAGATGTAGCAGACGACCAGAGATAGATGTCCACAGTTTGCTCAGGGTACTCGGGTTTAATCTAGGCGATGATGCGTGAAGGTAATGCCTAATATCCGCAAGCATGGGAATCAGAGCTTAGGCGCTCTGCAGATGAGGCGACTTGTAGGTGCTACTTAGGGCTTGAGATATAGTACCTGGAGTAAAAGTACACTGGGGCCGGAGCCAAGTGAAATTGGTCAATCAGAAGGTTTAGAAACGGACCCCAAGAGGCAGATCCGGACAGGAGGTTCGAGTCGGATCAGCCACTTGAAGGGGATGGGAACAAGGCAAACAGGTGTAATAACGTCACGGTAAATTCGCCATAAGGGCACATCTCTTGTGGAATATAAACATGTCAAAGGTCGTGAAAGGACGAGAGCAAAACAAGAGGGTAGGAAATGGATAGAGGGGTCAGGACGGAAAGAAAATGATAGCACAACCACTTCGACATAAAGTCAGTCAAGGGATTTACTTCAATTGTCTCTGACAAGTTGTGGTTTGGTGCAGAAAATAGCAAGACTTAATGACGATGCTGGCGAAACGTCTGGGAATGTACCAGAATCTGGAGATTATCATGCATACTCTGGACTCCGGACAAGGTGCTCTCCTCTAGGTCTTCCTGACAATATGACCAAGTTACGTAAACAAAGTAAAATAATTGCAATTCCTTAATCGAATGATGCTGATATACTTTTCATTTCGTTTGAAAAAAATGGAGGTAGCGGACTTCCTTGTGTAAAAACCGAGCCATACTAGGTCGCATAAAGCCTATTCAAGGACTAATGGTTGTGATTTCCCATAGTTACTAATCTCTAAAACGACTAAGATCGAAAATAACTTGGTCCAATTGGCTTATATATGATATTTAGTAAATGATGGTTTCTGACTCTTGTGACGTCCATCAAATAGCAGATGAAAGCGCAGTATGGATCGATGGGGGCCGCGGAAAGGTGAGCCAAGGCCTTTTTCGCACAATATAGCAGTCACGACTCCTATTCAATCCTCCCGATTCCGGTAAAACCAATTATAGGATCCCTTTCACCCGAAAAAAATATAAGTCCTTCGTATTTAGCTAGGAATACAAATAAGGTGAGATGAAAATGAACCCCTCAAAATAGACCTAGATTATTTACATATATTTCGGAAAATGTTTATTACATTAAATAATGTTTCATTAAGAACCGAGTAGTTGCTTGCATGCAACACTTACCAAGAAAGGGTAGTTACTGCGAGAAAATAGAAGACAAAATAATTGTCTGGGTGTCAATAGCAAAAATGTATGCCTCCCGCCGATCAAAAATGAAGGTAGAGTGAAACCGTATCCCTTGAGATTCCTTTATAAAACAAAACTTAGCTACGAGTGGTGAAGAAATTAATCGAAGCCACTAAAACTCGGCTTGGTCAGGTTGATAAGAAACGATCATGTATGGCTGTAAGGTTACGCAATTTTTATAAGTAATAAGTTAATCCTAGTGATGCATCAAATGATCGTGAATGCATATTTAAATAATCTATGACCTTATCAATAAAGTAGCTTATAAAGAAAAATAGAGGAATGCAAATCAGATTAGCAAAATTTGTTTAGCACTCAAAAGTTTTGTAAAGGATACTAGTGCCAGCAAATATAATAAACGAATTGTATACACACATGAATATATATATATATATATATATATATTTCCAGTAGAAGAATAATCAGAAGCAATGAAGTATAATCCTTATGAGTTTGGACAGCATGAGTACCATGAGATCATAAATATAGAAATAGATCAAATACAATATTCAAAGATATCAATAATCTTAGCAAAATTAAGAAACACCGAAAACCTTATTTAATGTCATTAGTAGAAGGGTCACATTTTGATATAGTGTCATTAAAGTTTGCTTCTTCTATCAAATCAGAGGAAGGATGGGTAGAATTGGGAATAGGTCTGTTGAAAATTTCTTGGTCATCTTGAGTGAAAGCCATGCCTTCTGAAGGTAAATTCGCCTGACTTGAGTCGTCATCAGAGTTCCGGACGCGAGATAGGGCAATAAAAAAAGATTTCGATGGCTCCTGGTCAAGTTTGTGCAATCCAATTGGGCCCAGATCGCAATCAGCACAAACCAAATATTTAATTGAGCCTACAGTATTGCAGAAGCCTACATTTTCGAAGGAATACATATCAGAGACATGCCAGAATCCTTTTACTGACTCAGAGGGAAAAGTTTCATTTGCAGTGGCAAGTTGATCCTTTCGTGTAATAAGAGGCAATTTTTCCTTTAAAAGGCAAAACCAAAAATAAGCTTAACAGACAAAAAATTTATTAAAGAAATTGTATATGCATTCACCCTAGTTCGTTAAACTGATGAAGTACTCGTAGTTGAATTTCCTCACAATGATATTAGCAGACCTTAACTAAGCCTGAATTAAATAAGTAAACTAGTTACTTCC